ATTATGCGTCGTAGAGATTACTTAGAAATAATTATTATGGTCAATTGTAAAAATTTTCTTAAAAAATAGTGCTTTTAATAAAAATCTGGTGCGCGTAACACACAACTTTCATTTACCTTTGTACTTTGAATAGAAATTATTTTTTGGCACAGAAATTATTTATATGTTGAGCAGTTATAAAATGTTTTAAGTGCACTTTTAATGGAGCTATAGCTTAAAGTTTACAGCTAACAAATCATTAAAACCACTAAAATAACAAAAACCCTTATAATTATATCAACTATAGACAATAAAAACCTCAGTACAGTACTCAATCTGTTTTTGTAAACCACATAACTCCAGTCTCTGAGCATTATATGCCTAAAGAGATCTGGAATTATATCTCTATATTCAACCTATAAATTCTTACTATCTATATTTGATATTGTTTTTTCTAAAATCCTTCGCTTTCCAACCTGACTAGTATTTTCGTAAATCCATTTTCGATCTCAATACACATTTTCCCTTTTTTCTCCATTTTAAATTATCAAATTCTTCCAAAATTTATATTTAGCATTTTTTCGTAACTAGAGAGATGGTTGAACATTTAAGCATTTGAGCCCTGTAAAGTGACATCAATGGGGATAATAAGACCTCAATGATATTAAAGGCCACTTAATTATACAACGATACGAGTTTAATCAAAATCGTTAGAGCCGTTTTTGAGAAAACTGGGTATAACGTTGATATAAAGTACTACTTCCGGTTTGCCGATTTCCGAGAAAAAATTGCTGTCACATCTAAAGCATATCTTAAACACTTAATATTAGTTGAGTACGATTATTCAGTTTTTGAGGTAGACTGTTCACATACACACACCCTCCCCCCCCACACACACACACACACAGACCATTTTGCGGGACTTCGACACACAGACCATTTGCGGACTCATGGGACCTCAAAACGTGTATTTCCGTTGAAAACTCAGATTCGAAAATTTTCATGATCACAATACTATCCGTCACTATATATTACCTATATAGGTAAGTGAAAGTAAAAATCATCAAATGTTTTTTTAAAAATTCCAGATAAAATTTTGATCAGATTGTTTTTCATTTTTCAATTATCAATTTCAAACCCTGCTTTTGACAGATATGGAACAATAAAGTAATAATACTTATAAAAGAATGAATAAATAACCAAATGAAAAAAAAAAAAAACTTTCATAGGGAAAAATGATTCAAGCATTATAAGATAAATTCAGTGGCGATCGATATATGCTCCATTTAACCACTCTTTATTTAAACATAATACTATTAATGCCGTAAAAAGCAATTCATCATAAATGATTTTCTCCCAAAAAAGTATCTATTCTTAAATAACATATCTACGGTATTTTTTTATTTAATTTTTATTTTCTACAATAGGACAAAATATGGGATATAGGTAAATACGCTGTATAAACCAGTTGTGTATTACTTCCTCTGATTAAATATGAAAAAATATAAAATAAAATAATCCTTTAATAGTGCTTTAATGATCGATTTACGATGTTTGTAGGTCATGGGGCCAATTTATTTTCAGACACCCCGTATGATAATCGCGTATCTTGAAAAAAAAGAGGTTAAATGTTAACGGCTCAAGCGATAATGAAGTTCGGTTTAAAATGCTAATATCTATTTTTATTAAAATTTTTATCACCTAAAATCGTTTCATAAGTTTTCACATTTCTTTATTTTATATATGTTTATCCTTGTATATATAAAACTAAATTATTTGTAAAATATATTCATTACCCACATAATCCTTTGGGAAGAATGTTAGTCATTTCACCTATCATTCATTGATGAGAGGATTAGAATTAATTTGAATACCAAAAATAATATTGGAATGGTTGGGGTTTTCATTGTAAAATATATTTTAATGTATTAAAAGAGATTAGTCATTCCGATAATTATAACCTCAATCGTACAGTTATTTCATTTTGTTCATTTATAAAAAATTAATGAAATGGAATTATAAAAACTTATTTTTTTTTCTTATAAACAGTATTTATTTTATCTAATCCGACATGAGAAGTTAAAACATTTATTCGAATCTTAATAAAATTATTGTAAAACTTTGATAATTTTACTTATACAAAGTTGGGTTATTAACAATGAACTATTTACATAATATATAAAATAAACTTTATTTTTATCTTTGGCGCTGTGATTCTGCAAGGAACCTAGATTTCTTTTATTGTCTTCTTCCACTCCATTCGCACTCTTCGGATTCAATATTCAATCCATCCTTTTCAAGATGTCCCCAGCCTCGTCCAGCCGCGTTAGGCACCGTCTTCCTCTTTCATGTCTTTCACTCGGTCCCATCCTCGAGCAGGACCAAGTTTTTTAGTAAGTTACTTTTCTATTTCTGAAATAATTTAATCTGAACTTGATTCGATATGTTTTGGAGCTTATTAAAAACGTTAAAAACAAACATTTGTAGAAATTTGGTCCGTAATAAAATACTAAAAATTCGATAAGAAAAAAAATCTGTTTCCAATAACTTTAAAATTATAACCATGAGTTAGCGGTAGGTATTTAATTTTTGTAAAATTCAAATAAAATGTTCATAAATTATTAAATTAAATTTGAGAATAATTAATCTTAAATAATTAAGAAATATAAAACCACAACAAACGAAAACGTGTTTGTACTTGTAGTTGAGTCACCAGATGGAACCTGGCTTTGTTTTTTTGATTTAAATGAAGTGCACAAATATGCAATTTTAAATATCTGTATAATTTTGAGTATATATACATATATCTGTGGACTCTGTGAAAGTATTTTAAGTGCAATTTTGTGGGTATCACCGGAAAGCAAATTTTTCCTTCTTTGTGTCTAATGAGCTATTTTATGCGGCTATTACGGAGATAAATATTCCTTTTGTGAATCATGAGTTGAAACTCAAAAATTTAACTCGAACCTTTCATAAATTGCAAAATTTCAATAGTGTTCTTCCATTAATGTGATTTTCGCTCTTAAAACACTCTCCACAGATGTTACAGATATCCTATATATTCAGGAATAACTTTTGTTTGCATTATCATGAACGCTATAAAGAAAGAAAATTTAATTTCACCTGTTTATTCACATGCACTGTTCTAAACAAGCTTCCACCCCACGATTAAAACTTATTTTAAAAATGCAAAATTAATTAGTGAAAGTTAATATCTATGTATATTAGGTGTCTTAAAAATCCAGTGAAATAATATTGTGCAATTATTTCTTCATTTTCTTTCCATATGATGACTCCATAATTGTCCAGCGGACATAAAACAACAATCTACATCTAACAACAATCTACAACAATCTAGTCAACAATCTAAAACATATACTCGTATACACAAACGCTTGCTTTGTGTGACCAACGGTGTTTTCGATAATACTTTCGCTTGGAGAAAATGATTCCGGAGAGGCTGTCTATTATATTTCAGTACTACTGCTGGTTTGTGGGCCAATATTTTACATCCTCGTGATCGCGGTTCGAGGCGTAACGGTCTTTAATATATCACTGGGGTTCCCTGTAAACAAAACTAGGCACAGTGAACCAGCGGTAGTTTGTGCTTTCCAATTCAGAGGGAATCGAGTAGTTATACAGTTATAGTCAAATATATATATTAGACAAATCAATGCATTTTATATTTTTGGCTTGTCGACCTTAAAATTGATTGTAAAAATTTTCATTTAGTTTGAAAATCTCATTTAGTTTCTAAATGTAAATCTCATTGACACTTTTGATTTCTGTGAAATAATATTAGTTTGCAGAATTTGTGAGTCATCATGTTTTCGGCCATTACCTACAATGAATTTATCACAGCTAAAATTAGCTTTTCAACGATATAGGTTAAACATCCGATTTTCGGCACCCGTAAGGAAACTTTGACATATGCTTGTCTCTTTTTCAATCGCATGGGTATTTGGTTTAACAATTTCGCTTCTTTTAAGTCAGTTATCTAAATTATCTCTAATTTCAAAATATATTTTTAAAACATTGTTTTTCATCTATTATTTTATAGTAAAACGCAGAAATATAAAAATATCTGTATGCCTCAGTTTTAGGCATTCCCTTTACAATCCCCAGAATAAATAACTTCTATGAAATTGTGCAGAAATGTTTACCACGTAGGTAGGTGGGTACACAAAGGTAAGTAATTAAATAACTGGAAATAGTACCAACTCCGAAATAGGTAAAATGGAATGAATATTTTCATTCAAATATCCCAAATATTTTCCGAAATTCGATTGCAAGAAAATTTCATGGATAATAGACCAAAGAACTTAATCTGATTTTTAAGTTTTTGGTTGGGCTATAATGAAAAACACTTTGTTCCACTAGATTATCGATTCGTCCACTCAGCAACTTTGTTTGTTATTTCTTGCCTGATTGGAAGAAACGCAATTACGTCTGATGATTGCAGAATACGTATTTCCTTGTGATAAAGTGCAGTTATTATATATTTGCTTTGTGGTACAAATCACTGATATGATAAGTTATGTGACTATTATGCCCCTCGATGTAAAGGATGGCGGCCTTTGTGATATCATTTTCATCTAGAAAAGGAATACAAATTTAAATGAAGGGATCAAATTAAAAGACGGATGCAGCCTTTATTCACCCTATTTCTGAACATTTAATACCCCAATTTTCAGGAACCAGGATTATAATTTCTTATGGGAAAGCATAAATAAGGTAAAAATTAGCAATGAATCACAAACAGTAAAAATATTTCTCATCAAAGTAATTATCAATGAAGAATTATCTTTGCTGTTCCGTGGTATATGTACTCCGTAAACACTTTTTCTATGATTGTTAGTAAAAGCAATCTCCGTTTTAGGAACTGTTGTATATTTGCTTCATCTCCGTTGGAAATCTGGTCGGAATGGCACAAAATAACGAAAGTCTTCCTTTAATTATTCTTCGTTTTTGTAGATGTAGAACTTTTTTTTTAACTTGGTTTTTGTTTGTGTTTATTATATTTAGCAGGGATCGGTGAGAACATCAGACGTCTCTTCAGCCAAGCTTACTAGCTTTATTCCCCTCTTCCCTCTCTCCTGTGAAAGAATAATATATTTTTCGCTGCTTTGGCAGACTTCTCTACAATCTTCAACAGATTTAGTCTTTGTTTCAGAAACCTATTATCTTCTTCCTCATTGAGAAAGGAGAAGCCTGTTTTAAATTTTGAGAAATGATTTTTTATTCAATATTGTACAGTGTTTAAGGAATATCATAAATCTTGCTGATTCCACTATTGATGTGGAGCCAGGCTTGGCCCCAAGGGTAGCAAACACATCATAACACACACCCTTTATGCCCAAAGTGCCACTTATGACGTGTGGCATTAGAAGTACAATATGTATTAGACAGGGAAAGAAATAACTATTGAAAAATTGTTAGAGGAATTGATAAGATAGGCTGATTATAGAACCTTTAATCCAAATAAAAAGTAAAATATATTTAACAACAAAAAGACATAATTGGAGAAAATTTTTTGAGAATGGAGTAAAAAAAGTATTAAAAAATTATGGTGTTTGTCTAAGGAAGGAGAAGGGATAATGAGCAAGTGGGGATCAAGAACAGCCGCTTCTCTCAGCTGAAGATTGATAGGCTGCAATGAAGTGGCAAATAGAGGTGGATGGGTTCCATCCAGCGTATGAACCCGTCCGCCCAATCTTCGTGTACCATCTCTTAAAGAATGCCAGTCTGGTTGTAATGCCCGCATACTCAACCAAGGATCTGTATAATAGTGCTGTCAACTAAACGAGTAGTTTACTACAGCCAAGATACTTGGGTTTTCATAAAAAAAAAAAAAAAAATAGCTGCATTCCTTTATTTAAATCATCAGTAGTTTTCTATGTCATTCCTGTGCATTCTTTCCATGATAGAAATGTGAAAGAACGGTACCTAACTTATAAAATGTTAAAGAATGCGAAATTTTCAAGCGATGTTCGATCTCTGGGTAATTAATATGGCATTTCAGCAATTCGTCCAGCCGTTCTATTTTATGCTTTTGATACCAAGAAGAATTTCAAGTGACAAAAATTCTTTTCAGCCATCACTGATTTAACGTTTTGGATCTTGGTATGGTTTTGAAATTTCGTCGTCTTAAGATTCGATTAAAACGTCCCTCAGAACTCTTCAACAATTATTTTGAAATAGATAGAGATTTATGTATTTTTATTCTTGATTTTCTTGGAGGACTTTTTCAGCTGCGGTTCATTCAAGAATTTAATTCCTCCAAAGTTTCACTCTTTTTAAATTTTAGATTTTATGCATTTGTAAGGTAATGATAATGAAAAATTCAGAAGTTTTTATTTTATATCAAATTTATTATTTTTTTCTCGGCTCCATATGAACTCTCGGGCGTGTGTATGATATTTTTCATCCTAATATTACCAAAACAATTTTGAATAAAATCGATGATTCCACATCCGTTGTATCGATATATTTAATCTTTCAAAAGACTAGGAATGTAAGTATTCTAACAATAAGATCGATAAATTAGTATGGATATTATTGTATATTATATTTTAACATATGATCTAAATAATTTCTTTAGAAAAACTACCATTAATAATAAAAAAAAAAAAAATATCCGTTTCGAGTCAAATTTCTTAAAAGTAGCATTACAATGGCCTCTTATTCCTTATTCACATTACATACCTAGCGCAACGGTAGTTCAATTCTGTAATCCAATATTGTGATAAGCAGTATAAGAAATAATTTTCTTTATTAAAAGAGAAAAAAACACTTTATAATAATGGGTTTCCTGATGTGTTTCTGCTGTGGTAATTGCAATCCAACATACAATAAAGTGTTTCAAAATCATATTGGAGTATTCGAAAGTAGTAAAAAAAAAAATCTTAATATGATTCAACTTATTAGCATAAACGATGGTATTCACTCTATTATTTTTTTTTTTTTTTTTTTTTTTTTAAACTCACTACCGTGAGTTCTCTTTTATTCTTGATTAAAACAAAATTTATTCTTATCTAAAAACCTTCCGGTACGATACAAGCTGTTTTTACACTTACGTCCATCAGTATGAAACAGTCTTAAATACTAATCATTTCACTAAAACTTAAAAATGATGGACGGTGATCGTTTAATACATCACTGATTGAGGTTACAATTTGCTGTTGATTTAATGTAAAATGGCACGTATAAAACAATTTAATATTCAATACATAAGGAGAAAAAAACTTTTTCAATTCTGCCTTCCTACCAATACTTGGGGCACTCCTACTCTGTGGGGCAGAGAGCTGGGTTTTAAATGAGAGGATTCTAAGCTAGGATTCTGATGTAAACCCTTGAAAAGAGCCAACTGAGGTGATATGGACATGTCTGCAGTGTTACCGCGCGCTCTGTGACAAAACTTCGTACTCAAGCCTCGTAAATCCTCGTACGCTTGTTCATTCATAACTTGTACTATTATAAGCCCAGTGTTATTGTTTTTTTTTAAAGTAAAATTAGATCAGAATTTTTTATTTTTACCTCCATTCATATATTTTAAAGCCTTTTTACATTACTTTTTTTAAGTTAATGGGTCAAGAAGTAAAATTAGCTTAATAAAATATATAAAAAAAGTTATAAACTACTGAAAACGTTATATAAACATTAAAATAGCTAAATAAATTTCTTAAAGTACTCTTCATAAGTATTCATTAGTAGATCCAAGATTTAATTTGGGGGAATGACTAATTTTTTTTTCTTTTTTCTAAAAACAAAACAACTACTTTTATGAAAGGATGTTAGTGGTTCTGGAAGGCCAATAAAAATTAATTATTGGGGCATTGATGCTTTTAGAGATATCCATTATAATATAAAAAAATAATAGATTGTGATTGTTTCAGTATTTAGCTTACAATTATATCTCGTAAAAAATAAATGACGACCACTGAAAAAATACTTTTTTTTTTCATTATTTAAGATGGGTTCATTATGAATACTAGTTAATTTTTCAATTAATTACTTTACTCGATTAAAAATCAAAAATATTTTTTTTAAATTACAGTAATAATTTAAAAAAAATTTAATTCATCTAGAATATATTTACAATTGCAGTTTTATGAAGGAAATAATAATTACGAAGGAAATAATGGATATACTTTCTCGTATTTTATTTTATGCTCGATAAAAATTTCTGTTTAATTTTCTTTTACAACACATTTTAAAAAATACATATTTATAAAAAAAAGTTTTATGAAGGAAATAATGGATATGGTTTCTTATATTTTATTTTATACTAAATAAAATCTAAATTTTTTTTTTAATTTTATTTTCTAGAAAATTAAAAAAAAAAACATATATATACAATCATGGTTTTATGAAGGAAATAATAATTATACTCTAATTAAAGAAGATATAATTGCAATTTATTTGTCTATAAAGCAACAGAAGTTCAGTATTTCATATCAATATAAATAACAACACAGTCAAAATAACCTTAGAACAATTCTAAACTTCATTCATAAAAATATAACCTTGCATTGCAAACGTCAGCAAAACTTATGTACGAGGTACGAGGCTGATCTATCCTCGTACCTCGTACATTACGTCATAACCTCGTACAAATACGAGGATCCTCGTACAAACGGCAACACTGCATGTCTGCTGTACCATGGCAACCCATAGTTACAGTTATTTATCTAACAGGTGACTCTGAATAGTCACTTCACTGTCTTTCGTTCTCGCATAGCGTACTTGTTCTGTAATGCCGTAATGTAATTGGGAATACCAACGAAAATCGCTTTGAAACTCCAAGGAGATGTTTTCTGTCGTTTCGTACCGGAGATAATCTCGCATTTTGGACCTAGACTACCAGGTATAATTCTTGGATATTCACACAGTCACCCTCTATCATCTAGACGTTGGAGTAGAGAGATTGATATCCAAATTATTTAGCTACATCAGTGAATCCAGATATAATAACCAATTGGACTGGATTTGGGTTATGTTATTCTTTTTAATTATGTTGCTTTTTTTAATTTTTATCAGCTTCTTGTTTGTTGTACTCATATATGTACATGTTCTGTTTATAATCAAGTAAAGCTTAAAGGAAACTTTTATTTTGTTTGTTGAACAAGTCTCTTATATTATATTTAATTTTTTTAAATATTATATATTCCCCTTTTTATTTCTATCGTATGAAATTAGAATTATAGTAACTATTATTGTTAATCTTGTCATACTACCCATCACAGAAACCGTATTAAAACCGTGGAGGTAAGACCGATGGGAAGAAGGCGAGGAGGGCGACCAAGAATCTCCTAGATCACCCAAATGGACCAAATAGGAAGACGCAGAGAAATGAAATGAAAATGAAAATATTTTTTTATTATCCTGGGACTGTTTTTCCTTTAGGACAAATTACAGATACAGAATAAATGCCTGTGTGGTCATAAATAAAATTAATTATTTACAATTATTATTAAGATTAATATTTTGAAAAAAGAATAAAACAAAAAATAGAACTATTACACTAAAAACATTCTGATATGTATAATACAAACGTGGGAAAATAAAATAGCATAAATAAAGAAAATCATTTATGGGGGAACTTTAAAAGTTCTCTTATCTATATTTCATGATCAATCGGGTTGGGAAAGGAGTAGGTGGTTAAAAAGGAGAGATTTAAATGAGGAAACTGGTTGTACATGTCGGATATCGGGAGGGATGGTATTCCAGAAGGAGACGGCTTGAATTATAAAGGATTTGTCAAACGCTGCAGTTCGGTGGGGAGGTGGATAGAGGTCGGAGGTACGAGATCTAGTGAGACGGGATTGAATGGAATATTTGAATTGTAGGCTGTGAAAAATATAGGAAGGCTGCTGAGTTCTGATAACTTGTATAGAAAGGTGGCAAGGAAGTACAGACGGCGGTTGAATAGATCCACTTCAACTTGGTGTAATACTGGGTTATATGCGTATCTCAAAGAAGACCTTGAGAGAAATGAGGATCCTTACGCATGGCAAATGACATATGTAGCTCGGTCGGTGTATATTGCTCACGCTGAAAGCCAAATGGATGAAAGAAAATATGTGATGAAGAGAAAAAAATCTGACGAAGAGAAAAAGGAGGATGTCTTTAAAAAATTACCGGTGGACCTCCGATTGCTTAAATATATTTATAAAAAAATCCTTTAAACAACATCACAATTACTAGGTACTTGTAGGAAAGGATATTAATACAAAACATTGAGAGAAAGAAGGGGTATTTATTGGCCCGTTGGCTAACACTGGCAACTATCCCTGTGACCCCAGCCCTGGCCCGGCTCCAGCTTCCAGTCACGAACCTTCATCGCATAAACATTTGACACTGCATCCTCAGCCAACTCTCCCAACAGCTCTCTAATAGCTAAAAAATAATAGGCCTACTTTATTGGAAGCGTCTTCTTGTTTTTGAATTTCCTTTAGATTGGAATTCATATGATATGATCGGTATTTTTTAAATTCTAATTTTACAAGAGAGAAACACTTTATTTTCATATAAAATATGAAAGATTTCTGCCCAATTATATTGGGTTGCTATATACTCAGCATATTCGTTAATCCGTAGGACAATAAATGAACTTATATATAAATATACAGAAGTGGTTAGTTTATATTAGTATTATATATAATACTATATATTTTATAGTATATAGTATATATATATATATATATATATATATATATATATATATATATATATATATATACATTTTTTTCTTGCTTTCATTGC